TATATTAAATAATTAAATAAATTAGTACTTAATTAAAAATAATTCTTTTTAAATAAGGTAATTTTATGAAACGGAATATCAAAGACAAAGATTTTTCAAAAACATAAACACCTACATATTTTGTAGAAGTATAATATTCTAAGGGCCAGTTGCATAATCGAATTTAAAGGAGCATTAAWTTAAATCTTGTTAAGAAAATTTTTTTTCTTCAAAAAATTTTCTATATAGGTTTTACTTTTTCGAACGAGAAACCCTCGATATGTCGGCCATTTGAAGTGGTATCGCGATGAAACTTGTACCAATCGATTCTACGTCGAAAAAAAAAAGTGAAATTTTTGTCTGTCTGTCTGTCTATCCGGTATTTCTGCGAACCGCGATAACTCTTCACAGAATCATTCTTTTTCGATGAAATTTGGCCAGTGGGTGCCCCTCGGCCGCCTTAAGAACCCTACTGATTTTGGAGTCGATCAGCTGACGGAAACGCCTGTTATCACTAAAWTTMGGGAAAAGYKAGGTTATGACCGCATATTACACACCTCTAACCAACACGACATCGCATGGGAGACCGGTTAGAGTTAGAGTGGGCGCCGTGACGCGTTAATCTTGAATCGAGTGAGCCCCACTTGGGGACGCAGCCCCCTTAAGCCCCACTCAGGGACGCAGCCTTCGTAAACCCTAATCGGGGGCGTTGCCTCAGTGAGCCCCATCGGAGACGCAGCCCCCGTGAGCCCCACTCAACTGAAAAATTAGATTAGATTGACCATTAAAGAAAAAAATTTTCTTTTCGCCTTTTTTCATCTAATAAATGCAAATTAACGATCAATTCACATCAATTCCCGTGAAGAGCTAAGCAATTTAAAAAGCAACAAACCATAATTACAAAACGGGGACACACAATATAAARTGGCCCGAAGGGCCAATACAGCGTCGCGGACCAAGGTAAGCGAAGCGCAACCTTGTTAAGAAAATTTTTTTTTTCAAAACATATAGGTTTTACTTTTTCGAACGAGAAACCCTCGATATCTCGGCTATTTGAAGTCGTATAGCGATGAAACTTGTACCAATCGATTCTACGTCGAAAAAAAAAAGTGAAATTTTTGTCTGTCTATCCGGTATTTCTGCGAACCGCGATAACTCTTCACAGAATCATTCTTTTTCGATGAAATTTGGCCAGTAGGTGCCCCTCGGCCACTTTAGGAACCCTATTGATTTTGGAGCCGATCGGCTGACGGAAACGCTTGTTATCACTAAAATTAGGGAAAAGTGAGGTTATGACTGCATATTACACACCTCTAACCAACACGGCATCGCATGGGAGACCGGTTAGAGTTAGAGTGGGCGCCGTGGCGCGTTAATCTTGAATCGAGTGAGCCCCATCGGGTGCGCAGCCCCCTTAAGCCCCATCGGAGACGCAGCCCCCGTGAGCCCCACTCAACTGAAAGATTAGATTAGATTGACCATTAAAGAAAATGATTTTYTTTTCGCCTTTTCTCATCGAATAAATGCAAATTAACGATCGATTCACATCAATTCCCGTAAAGAGCTAAGCTAACTTAAAAAGCAACAAACAATAATTACAAAACGGGGACACACAGGGCCGCAATATAAAATGGCCCGAAGGGCCAATATAGCGTCGCAGACCAAGGTAAGCGAAGAGCAACCTTGTTTAGAATGCGCTAATTACTACGAACTCCTTGAGCAAAATTTCACATTCTAAACCAATATTAACTTTAAAGTCTCTTTAATTAGATCATCAAACTGGACCTAAGTAAAATTTAATTCTAAATTTAAAATTATTAGGAATTGTAAAACTGCCGTAACACACCATCAATTTTTTTAAAAAATTTGCTGTTAATTAATTCGGTTTTTGGACTGTAGTTATTTTTGTATACAAAGAAAAATTAAATCAGAGAGATCAGAGAACTCGCGCCCCAGAGAAAAATGCCATATAAAGTAAGGTACCAGGATACGAGTCATCGCAGAAATGTGAACAAAATGACTGTCCTTAAAGCAAAGAAGAAGATTCTAGTGACATTTTAAACATGACAGKGATTATCAATTTCAAGGGAAAATTTACAACGCCAAAAATTTTTTTATTTGTCAAGTGTATTACTTTTCAATGGCCGCGACTGTACAAGATCATCAGTATCATTAAGGGTGGTTTGCACCGTTCAAGATTAAATATTAAACGTCGATTATAGTGTGATAATCTGACATTTGTGTTTGCACCGTACTGCATTTCACGAAAATCTTGGTTTAGCAGCTGTCATATTTAATCGGTGAAAAATCACGGTTTAAAATACAAATCTCCGTTTAACTTTTGACGTTTCACGAATCGTGTCACATCACAAGTACAAAAATTCAATTTGATAACATTTTGCAAGACTATTTTCCTAATATACATATGTTAATCTGGCTGCAGGCAATGCAACAAGAAGACAATTTGTTTTGTTGTTTTTAAGATTATAGTTAACATTAATGTGGAAATACAAAATTAAATTGTTTGTAACCGCTTCTATTTTATTTCTATTTCTAGCTACAAAATTTATTTGCGAT